GCTGAAGCAGGAGAATCACTTGGACCCAGGAGGTGGAGGTTGCAGTGGGCCGAGATCATGCCACTGCACTCCAGCCTAGGCTACAGGGTGAGACTCCGTCTCAAAAAAAAAAAAAAATGGAGTTTTCGGCTGGGTATGGTAGCTCACGCTTGTGATCCTTGCATTTTGGGGGGTCAGAGAGGGAGGATTGCTTGAGGCCAGGAGTTCAAAATCAGCCTGCACAACATAACAGCTTCCCCAGTGGTCAGGGCCCCAAATCTGCTGGCTTCCCAGTTAAGTCCTGCACACATTAAAGTCTGAGAACCACTAGGCTAGGATCTGACTCTGCCTGGCAGGCCCAGAAATTGTTGTTGGGCAATCTTTTCCGCTCTGTTTGACAGAAGTGCCTGGAGTGACAGGCGCCAGATTTGACTGAAGATGAGTTGTGTATTTGAGTTGTGCTGCCTGACTCATGCGATACACCTGACATCCTTGTTGACCCATTTCACAGGAGCTTGAGAAGCTGGCTTCTCGAAAGTTGAGAATAAATGCTAAAGAAACCATGAGGATTGCTGAGAAGCTCTACACTCAAGGGTAAATATTCTGGATTTGGGAGTAGAATTTGAACCGTCTTTATCAGGATGAAATATTTTAGAAATAGAGTTTATGGGCCAGGCGTGGTGGCTCACGCCTGTAATCCCAGCACTTTGGGAGGCCAAGGCAGGCAGATCATGAGGTCAAGAGATCAAGACCATCCTGGCCAACATGGTGAAACCCCGTCTCTACTAAAAATACAAAAATTAACTGGGCGTGGTGTGGTGTTGCACGCCTGTAGTCCCAGCTACTGGGGAGGCGGAGGCAGGAGAATCATTTAACCCAGGAGGCGGAGGTTGCAGTGAGCTGAGATTGCACCACTGCACTCCAGCCTGGGTGACAGAGCGAGACTCCATCTCTGGGAGAAAACAAAAATTACAAATAGAGACTGGGTATGCTGGGTCACACCTGAAATCCAAGCACTTTAGGAGGCCTAGGCAGGAAGATCGCTTGAGCTCAGGAGTTTGAGACCAACCTGGGCAACATAGCAAAACCCTGTCTCTACAAAAAAGAAAAATTAGCCAGGCATTGTGCCACACACTTATAGTCCTATCTGTTCAGGAGGCTGAGGCAGGAGGATTACTTTAGCTTGGGAGACGGAGGCCACAGTGAGCCAAGATCACACTGCTATACTTCAGCCTGGGCACCACAACAAGACTATCTCAAAAAGAAAAAATGAAAAACAAATAGAGTCCACGTTACAGTTTTATTGGACAGCATTATTCTTTGTATACTCTAAGAAAAGTCTCGAAGCACATGCTGGTGGAACTTGTCAGGGTCAGTGAGGCTCATGTGCTGCATCAGGGTTGGTCTGTCAGACTGACCCTCAGAGTGGCCAGTGACAAGCCCCAGGCTCTGAGGCTGCTGGCCTTTATCCTGTGCTGTGCTTCCCCTTTTGTTTCTCCTTTGGCTTCTTTGAGTGTCCTAGCAGGAGAGCCAGCTGCTTTTCACCCCATGAGTAGGTGCATCTCATCTCAGAACTTTTCTGAATCAGGTAACCCAGGTTGCCTTCAGTTGAGTTGGCTACGTCAGATGAATGTTTGTAGGTGTTAGTGGGTGCTTTCAGTTGTTTAATGACCAATCAGAGAGCCTAGCAATTTCTTTTTCTGTTTGTTTGCCTTGGTTTTAGGTACATCAGCTATCCCCGAACAGAAACAAACATTTTTCCCAGAGACTTAAACCTGACGGTGTTGGTGGAACAGCAGACCCCCGATCCACGTTGGGGGGCCTTTGCCCAGAGCATTCTAGAGCGGGGTGGTCCCACCCCACGCAATGGGAACAAGTCTGACCAAGCTCACCCTCCCATTCACCCCACCAAATACACCAACAGCTTACAGGTTGGTTTCTCTGAATGTGCTGCCTGCTGGAACCCAGAGGGAAGTGCTGGGGGTTGGTAGTAAGATTTGAATTTACTCTGTGGGCTGTGATTGTAAAAACAAGTGATCTTGAGATCTCTCTCATTTCGCTTGCTTTGATGAAAGACCACTTCACCCTTCCCCGTGATGGGCCCCCGTCTTAATCCAGCCCCACCTCCCCACTCTCTGTCAGCTCCTGCTGCTTCCCTGCTAGTCCTTCATAGGCAACCTAGGTACCTCTCCTCCCTACACCACTGTGTAGACCCCTACCCCCACTGTGAGCCTTGTGGCCTTCCCAGTCCCTGGAACTAGAGAATTCTATCCATCCTCCCAAGGCTGGCGCAGTTTTGTTGCCTCCTGAAACTTTGCTGCCACCCCAGTCGTGCCACCCCACGTCATTGCAGTTTCCCACTCAGCTCTTCTTGTCTGTCTCAGTCATTTCTTCAGCCAGGGGCAGACTGCAGGCACAGGAGCCATTAGGCTTGTTTACATCTGTAGGCTTCTCACAAAGCTGGGGAAATCTTAGTCTTTTGTTCTTCTCCTCCTTCTTTTAATAACATATATTCTTTCTGATTTTAAAAATATGGCCAGGCGCAGTGGCTTACGCCTGTAATCCCAACACTTTAGAAGGACACGGCGGGTGGATCACAAGGTTGGGAAATTGAGACCATCTTGGCCAACATGGTGAAAACCTGTCTCTACTAAAAATACAAAAATTAGTTGGGCGTGGTGGCGTGTGCCTGTAGTCCCAGCTCTCAGGACGCTGAGGCAGAAGAATCACTTGAACCCGGGACGCGGAGGTTGCAGTAAACTGAGATTGCACCGCTGCACTCCAACCTGATGACAGAGTGAGACTCTGAAAAAAAAAATTAGGCCGGGCGCGGTGGCTCAAGCCTGTAATCCCAGCACTTTGGAAGGCCGAGACGGATCGTGAAGTCAGGAGATCGAGACCATCCTGGCTAACACGGTGAAACCCCGTCTCTACTAGAAAATACAAAAAACTAGCCGGGCACGGTGGCGGGCGCCTGTAGTCCCAGCTACTCGGGAGGCTGAGGCAGGAGAATGGTGTAAACCCGGGAGGCGGAGCTTGCAGTGAGCTGAGATCTGGCCACTGCACCCCCCCGGGCGACAAAGGAAAAATCCCTCTCAAAAAAAAAAAAAAAATTACATGTTCATTTTAGACAATTTAAGAAATACGAAAGATTATAAGGGAGGAAAAATTGCCTATTAAGCATGACATTTAACAATTGCAAAGATGTGCCATAATTTATTTTGCCAAATCTGTTTTTTATGTTTTTGATACTATAGTTAATATTTGTAGACAAATATTTTTGTGGTTCTCCAGTTACTTCCTTTGAAGAGATCCGTAGAAGGGGAATTATTGGATATGTGTATAAATGTCTCATTTTGATAGAGTGAGACTCACTAAATCATTGATTACCTAATTTAAAATTACCCTGGCAAATTACTGCTTAAACACGTGCATGAAGTTGGGCTAAGGCCACCAGGTGCAGTGTTGCTCTGTCTCTTATATTTGAGGAGTCTCTTGCCAACTTCTTATGCTTTCATCTTGTTTTCTGCTTAGATTGGGTTTACATCAAAGAACCACTCTGAAGGGGAAGATTACTCCCTTGCTTATCTTTGCCAGATTTGAGTTGTGAAAATGTCAACCTAAACCTATTCTCTCCCCAGGACTTATTTGCCTGGCACTCCATGTTAGTGCAGGGCCTGAGGAGCAGTGTGGCCTCTTCTGTGCTGGACATTTGGCTAAGGCTACCAGCGATGCTCCTGTCCTTGAGAGGTGATATTCTAGGGGGAGTTTCAAACTCCTCTTTTCTTCCTAGGGAGACGAACAGCGACTGTACGAGTTTATTGTTCGCCATTTCCTGGCCTGCTGCTCCCAGGATGCTCAGGGGCAGGAGACCACAGTGGAGATCGACATCGCTCAGGAACGCTTTGTGGCCCACGGCCTCGTGATTCTGGCCCGAAACTATCTGGATGTGTATCCATATGATCACTGGAGTGACAAGGTGATCAAGAGTGGTCCCCAGGGAGAGGGAGGACAGTTGTGTTGCGAGTCCTGAGTTCTCTAGTGGAGCAGGACCGTGTTCCTTGAAATGAGGTTATTTTTTGCCTGAGTGTGATAATGGAATCATCTGACTGCTGCACCTGCTGCTCCCTGTAGATCCTCCCTGTCTATGAGCGAGGCTCCCGCTTTCAGCCCAGCACCGTGGAGATGGTGGATGGGGAGACCAGCCCGCCCAAGCTGCTCACCGAGGCCGACCTCATTGCCCTCATGGAGAAGCACGGCATTGGTCAGTGGCTCCTCTGGTTAACTCACATCTCTTGAGCACTTACCGTGTACCAGGCACAGGTTTCCTCTAGTCTTCAAACCATTGTCTAATGCAGCTGCTGTATCTTTATCCCCATTTTATGATTGAAATAAGGCTCAGAGAGGTTAAGAACTTACCTAAGTTCACAAAGTGTGTGTTATTAAAACCTGGTCTGAATACCTCCACAGTCAGTGCTTTTAAACCATGCACTGTGCTGTGCACGTAGTAAGAGACTTTTCCCATGGCTTTGAGGGCCCAACTGGGAGCACCCGTTGGCCACATGAGGATTTGTTTTTTTGAATAAGAACAGCATGTAAGGAACCAACAATTAAAACTTAGGACAGTCATCATAAAATCTGTTTTCATTTTGAAGTGTCAGATCTGGCTCCTCCTTCCCATGTGGAGTATTGGGTGAGGGTGGCAGCTGTCTCTACAGGCCTGCACCCACACTGCTCAGTCAGGCTGCTCACACTGGCCTCATGTATGTGCCAGGACCCTGCTGTTAGCTATGGGTGACTGGATTCTTAGCCTGTTGTTAAAGCATTTCCCATAATTGCTTAGGAATCAGAAACTAGGTTTTAATAAAACACTGGGCCAGAATTGTGTTATTCCCAATAAGTCCCATGGCTCAAGCTTTGCAGATAGGTCCTTGTAACTAATCTGCTGTCCCCTCCATTCGTTTTTCTCAAGGCTCTCAAGGGCTTTCTCTGGCAAGCCTAGTCCAGGAATACCAGCAGCACAGTGGAGGGGAAGCAGAGCTCTCTGGGCATGTGTTACATAAGCAGCTGCCTCACCCACAAAGGGAGTTTCTTAGGCCTGTGGCTTAGGAAGCAGTGCTCCAACGTGGAGTCCTTGACCATCACTAGGACATCCAGAAACCCTGCAGGTTTAGGTAAAATTAGTAGAGGTTCACCCATCATGATTTATTTGATAAAAATGTATGAGGGCTGGATGCGGTGGCTCACACCTGTAATCCCAGCATTTTGGGAGGCCAAGATGGGTGAATCACTTGAGCCCAGGAGTTCAAGACCTGCTTGGGCAACATGGTAAAACCCCATCTTGCTGGGCGTGGTGGCTTACGCCTGTAATCCCAACACTTTGGGAGGCTGAAGTGGTTGGATCACCTGAGGAAGGGAGTTTAAGACCACCAGCCTGACCGACGTAGTGAAACTCTTGTCTCTACTAAAAATACAAAAATTAGCCAGGCATGGTGAAGCTACTTGGGAGGCTGAGACAGGAGAATTGCATGAACTCGGGAGGTGGAGGATGCAGTGAGCCAAGATCGCACCACTGCACTCCAGCCTGGGTGACAGAGTGAGACTCCATCTCAAAAAAATAAACCATCTTGGCTGGGCGCGATGGCTCAAGCCTGTAATCCCAGCACTTTGGGAGGCCGAGACAGGCGGATCTGAGGTCAGGAGATTGAGACCATCCTGGCTAACACGGTGAAACCCCGTCTCTACTAAAAAAATACAGAAAACTAGCCAGGTGAAGTGGCGGGCGCCTGTAGTCCCAGCTACTCGGGAGGCTGAGGCAGGAGAATGGTGTAAACCCGGGAGGCGGAGCTTGCAGTGAGCTGAGATCACGCCACTGCACTCTAGCCTGGAGGACAGAGTGAGATTCCGTCTCAAAAATAAAAAAAAAAAACCATCTCTACAAAAAATTAGGTGCATGCCTATAGGTAGGGAGGCTGAGGTGGGAGGATCACTTGAGCCTGGGAGGCAGAGAGTGAGGTACACTGAGATTGAGCCACTGCACTCCAGCCTGGGCAACAGAGCGAGACCCTGTCTCAAAAAAAAAAAAAAAAAAAAACACATGAGGCCCACAATAGTGAGCGCTTGGACTAAGCACCAGAGACACAAAGAGGAATAAGACCTCATTTTTTAACTTCTCAATCTAACAGAAGAACCAAACCAACACATTGAATACAATGTAATGGGTTCTGCAGGGAGTAGGCAGGGAAGCAAATGTCATGGGTAGGCTGGCATTTGAGCTGGACCAAAACTTCATAGTAAGACTGCTGGATCAACGAAGGGCAGCCCAGTGCAGGGCAGGGCTGAGGAAGGCACAGGAGCAGGAAAGCAAAAGCCTGCTGTAGCTGGATTGGGGGTGGTGGCCATAGAAGGTGTCTGGAAAGATGATCCAAGCCTGACTTTACAGGGCCTTGGCTTGCCCAGTTGAAGGGCTTAGATGGTGATACGTGGTCAGCAGGGAGTCTTCTAGGATTTCTAAGTAAAGGAACCACAGAGAGGTACACTTAAATAAAAAAAATAATAATATTTTTAAGATTATTAACAGACTGGGCATTGTGTGTCACACCTATAATCCCAGCACTTTGGGAGGCCAAGGCAGGGGGTCAGGAGTTGAAGACTTGAGGTCAGGAGTTCAAGAGCAGCCTGGACAATGTGGTGAAACCCCATCTCTACTAAAAATACAAAAAATTGATGGGTATGATAACTGACGCCTATAATCCTAGCTACTCAGGAGGCTGAGGCAGGAGAATTGCTTGAACCTGTGAGGCGGAGGTTGCAGTGTGCCGAGTTTGCGCCACTGCACTTCAGCCTTGGTGACAGAGAGACTCTTGTCACACACACAAAAAAGATTATTAACAGTTTTATTTATATACCGTACAGTTCATCTCTTTCAAATGTATAATTTACATTTTTTAGCATATTTACAAAGTTGTGCAGCTATCACCATAGTCGGGTTTTTGGGTTTTTTTGTTTGTTTGTTTGTGATGAAGTTTTACTCTTATTGCTCCAGCCGGAGTGCAGTGGTGCAGTCTCGGCTCACTGCAACTTCTGCCACCCGGGTTCAGGCGATTCTCCTGCCTCAGCCTCCCCAGTAGCTAGGATTACAGGCACGCACCACCACACCCAGCTAATTTTTGTTATTTTTAGTAGAGACAGGGTTTCACCATGTTGGCCAGGTTTGCCTACTTTAGTTATTTCCTATAAAGAGCCAGGCACAGTGGCTCACACCTGTAATCCAGCACTTTGGGAGGCCAACGTGGCAGATCACTGGAAGTCAGGAGTTCGAGACCAGCTTCGCCAACATGGTGAAACACTGTCTCTACTAAAAATGAAAAAATTAGCTGGGCTTGGTGGCAGGTGCCTGTAATCCCAACTACTCAGGAGGCTGAGGCAAGATAATCGCTTGAACCCGGAAGACGGAGGTTGCAGTTGATGGACACTTGAGTTGTTTCTAGTCTTTGGCTATTATAAATAATCCTGCTGTGAACAGTTTTGTACAGGTTTTGTGTGGACATGTGTTTTCATTTCTCTTGGGTAGACTTAGGAGTGGGGTTGCTGGTTTACATGGTAACTCTACATTTAACATTTTTAGGAACCACTACACATTTTTTTTTTTTTTTTCCTGAAGTGGCTGTACCATTTTTTGTTTCCACCAGCAAGGCACTAGGATTCCGGTTCATCCACATCCTTACTTAGTATTATCTCTCTTTTTGATTTTGCCGGTAGGTGTGAACTGCTATTTCATTGTTTTGTTTTTTGTGTGTATGTTTTTTTTTTTTTTAGAGGCGGAGTCTCACTCTCGCCCAGGCTGGAGTACTGTGGCACAATCTCGGCACACTGCAAGCTCCACCTCCTGGGTTCACACCATTCTCCTGCCTCAGCCTGCAAGCTCCACCTCCAGCCCACACCATTCTCCTGCCTCCAGCCTCCCAGGAAGCTGGGACTACAGGCGCCCGCCTACCACGCCAGGCCAATTTTTTTTTTTTTTTTTTTTTGGTATTTTAGCAGAGATGGGGTTTCACCATGTTGTTATGGATGGTCTCCTTTGATCTCCTGGACTGCAGGATCTGCCCGCCTCAGCCTCCCAAAAAGTGCTGGGATTACAGGCATGAGCCACTGCACCCAGCCCTTTTTTTTTTTTTTTTTTTAAGACGGAGTCTCACTCTGTCACCCAGGCTGGAGTACAATGGCGCGTTGCAGCCTCTGCCTCCTGGGTTCAAGTGATTCTCCTGCCTCAGCCTCCTGAGCAGCTGGGACTACAGGCGCATGCTGCCACACCCAGCTAATTTTTGTATTTTTGATAGAGATGGGGTTTCACCATGTTGGCCAGGCTGTTCTCGAACTCCTGATGTCAGGTGATCTGCCCACTTTGGCCTCCCAAAGTGCTGCAATTACAGGCATGAGCCACTGCTCCCAGCCTTCACTGCAGTTTTAATTTGCATTTTCTTCATGGCAGAGCTACATTTTGAAAGATCCCTTTAGCCACAGCTTAAAGAATAGTTAGGGTAGAGGAAGAGACTAGAAATAGGGACACAAGCTGCAACTGTGGCTTGGACACATGGGGAGGAGAATTTTTAAAAGGAGCTTTGAAGCTGGAATTGACAGCTTTCCTGAGTAATGGGATGTGAGGGAGCAAGAGAGTTGAGGTTACCATTGTGATTTCTTGAATGAGCTATATGGGAATGAAGTGAAGGCATCTTACCTATATAGGCTGTCCCGGCAAAGGAGGGGTTCCGGAGTGAGCAAGGTGCCCATGCGCCACCCGGGTGGAGCTATTGTCTGTATTACCTCAGAGTAACCAGCAAATGGCTTCCAGGTACGGATGCCACTCATGCGGAGCACATCGAGACCATCAAAGCCCGGATGTACGTGGGACTCACCCCAGACAAGCGGTTCCTCCCTGGGCACCTGGGCATGGGACTTGTGGAAGGTAAGGGAGGACAGAGCTTGCAGTGGGTAGTGGGGGGTGTCGCTCAAGTCCTTGAGGGTCTCAGGTGGGCCCTCACTGAGCTCGACTCTTTCCCTGCAGGTTATGATTCCATGGGCTATGAAATGTCTAAGCCTGACCTCCGGGCTGAGCTGGAAGCTGATCTGAAGCTGATCTGTGATGGCAAGAAGGACAAATTTGTGGTTCTAAGGCAGCAAGTGCAGAAATACAAGCAGGTTTTCATCGAAGCAGTGGCTAAAGCAAAGAAGTGAGTCCTTAAAAGAAATAGAGACGGGGTCTTACTATGTTGCCCAGGCTGGTCTTGAACTCCTGGCCTCAAGAGATCTTCCCACCTCAGCCTCCCAAAGTGCAGGGATTACAGGCGTGAGCCACTGCATCTGGGCCAGTCAGAGTTCGTAACCCTGCCAGATTCATCCTCACCACTGGCCTCCTGGCCTAGGGGTTTTCCACATACCCCTTTCTTTGGACTTTCTTCTCCGGTTCCTTTACAACTCTCCACAGAGCTTTGTCATTATAGAAACAGTAATCGGAACAGTCTCCTCCAGTTATTCTGAACTATTAGCTTTATAAATACCATTCTCTTGATTTTAATTATCTTTTTTTTTTTTTTTTTGCTTTCATTACATGACAAATTAATTATGTTGAGTTAGGCAACAAAGTCTTTTAAATCAGTAAACCCAAGTGCTGGAGTGTGATCCATTTATTTTCTGGAGCATTTAGAGGTGGATATTTAGCAAGCAGCATGTATGTATTTTGTTAGAAATGATGTGTTTTCTACCTGTGATACTATGATTTATAATAAGATATATATATTTGGACTTCATTTTCTGATACTCTTGGAATTTTTTAAGTGCTGTGTCTGTTGTATACAAATGAGATGACTAGTGGCTGAGGGCTCCTGGGTAGCCTCGGGATCGGTCTGGTTGTCAGGGAACCAACCCTGTGATTAGAAGGTTGGTACTTTGAGTGCCACCCCTACCTCAGGAAGAGCAGAGGGGCTGGAAGTTGAGTTGATCACACGTGGCCAGTGATTTGTCAATCATGCCTAAGTAATAAATCCTCCATAAAATCCCCAAACAAGGGCTGGGCACGATGGTTCATGCCTGTAATCCCAGCACTTTGGGAGGCTGAGGCGGGCAGATCACGAGGTCAGGAGTTCAAGACCAGCCTGGCCAACATAGTGAAACCCCGTCTCTGCTAAAAAAAAAAAAAAAAAAATACAAAAATTAGCCGGGCATGGTGGTGCGTGCCTGTAGTCCCAGCTACTCTTGAGGCTGAGGCAGGAGAATTGCTTGAACCTGGAAGTTGGAGGTTGCAGTGAGCCGAGATTACACCAGTGCAGCCCAGCTTGGGCAACAGAGTGAGACTTAAAAAAACAAAACAAAAAAAACACCCAAACAGTTGGGTTTGGGGCACATCCAAATAGCTGAACAGGTAAAGATTCCTAGAGGGTGTGTGTTTGGGAGAGGGCATGGAAGCTACTCCTTCCCCACATCCCTTGCTCTGTGAGCCACTCTGTTGAGTTATTCAAACCAAGGAGGGGGTCTGAGGAACCCCAGGTTACAACCAGTCAGTCAGAAGCACAGGTCACACCCTGGGATTTGTGACTGACATCTGAGGGGATTGGGGGGAGCAGTCTTCTGGGACTGAGCCCTTAACTGTCAGATGGATCTCCAGGTGCATAGTGTCAGAATTGAATTGAATTAGAGGATGTCCAACTGGTGTCTGGTGGGAGAGTTGCTTGGTGTGTGGGGAAAACTCCCACACATCTGGTGTCTGATGCGTGTTGTGAGACTGTAATAGAAAGTAACAGTTTTTGTTATTTCCTATTCTTCAGACTACCGCATGCTAGTTGTGAAAAGGCAGGCATGAGCTAGTTTAAACTTAATGCAGACAGACACTCCTGGTCTGTACATGGACCCTGTGCAGTTTTACTTTTTTGTTTGTTTGTTTGTTTTTATTTGAGATGGAGTTTCGCTCTTGTTGCCCAGGCTGGGGTGCAATGGTGTGATCTCGGCTCACCGCAACCTCTGCCTCCTGGGTTCAAGCAATTCTGCCTCAGCTTCCTGAGTAGCTTGGATTACAGGCATGCACTACCACGCCTGGCTGATTTGGTATTTTTAGTAGAGATGAGGTTTCACCATGTTGGTCAGGCTGGTCTTGAACTCCCAACCTCAGGTGATCCACCCGCCTCAGCCTCCCAGAGTGCTGGGATTACAGGCGTGAGCCACCACGTCCGGCCCAGTTTTACTTTTTAATGTGGGCTGGTGACAAGCAGAAGCATCTGCCTATATCTGGACTCTCCTCCCAGGAGTTGGTTTGGCACCAGGGCCCATGGTGAGCTTAGTCTTCTCTGTTTGCCATCTGTTCTCTGCAGGAGGCCTGCAGCTCACTGACTAGCTGGTTCCCAAGGTCACGCCTGTTGTGTGCACATAAGAGTGTTGTAGGTGCCTTTGCAGCGATTGCCGGCTGATGGGTGTCTGTCTTTGCCTTTTCTTCAGATTGGATGAGGCCTTGGCCCAGTACTTTGGGAATGGGACAGAGTTGGCCCAGCAAGAAGAGATCTACCCAGCCATGCCAGAGCCCATCAGGAAGTGCCCACAGTGCAACAAGGACATGGTCCTCAAGACCAAGAAGAACGGCGGGTCAGTGCGTCGCCTTCTGCCCCCACCTCTGCTCCCTAGCACCTGCAGTGTCAGCCACAGCTCGAAAGGCCCTGCCATTTCACTCCATGGAATCTTTCAAGGCAGGCCTGTGGTTGCCAACCTGCAGGCAAGGTGTTGACCTAGAAGCATGGCAGGATGGGATCAGGCCTTTGAGGTGTAAAGCACTATGGCAATTCAGAGCAGGTGGACAACCGAGTGATAGTGGGGTTTTTTTGTCCCCTGTGGGTAGGACGTCGTATACCCAATGTGTAACACATGGAAGAGCATGAGCTTCAGATCTAGGTAGGTCTGGGTTCAAATGCCACTTCTGCCGCGTATAAGCGGTGTGGCCTGAAGCAAGTTACTTACCTGCTCTGAGCCCCAATTTCTTTTGTAAAACAAGGTCAGTACTCACAAGACTGTGTTAAGGGTGAGGATTTGGTGAAAACAGTCAGGACTATATATATAGCACATTGCCTGATGTGTTGTAGATACTCAGCAGATACTACTTTTCTTCTCTCCTAGTTTTAGTTCTGAATGGGGCCTGAAAATCTACTTTAAATATAGTAGATCCAAGTGGGCAATTTAGCCTCACATCAGGTTGTTCAAGCCAGTGACTGGCCACTGGACGAAGTTCACAGGGAAAGACGTGCTGGAGGGATGGCGGCCATCATCAGGTGCCGTCCCTCACTGGCGTGATGCAGGGTGGTGCTCTGTAAGCATTACCTCATCCCATTCTCATAACTACCCTGCAAGGCAGGGATTTTTATGCAGCTTAGAGGGCTGAGGTGCTTGCTTGGAGTCAAGCAGCCGTGGTGGGCAGCAAAGGCAGAGTTTGAAACCAGGTTTACACCGCCTTTCTCCCTCCTGCCTGACCCACCTGGGGCTGCTGTGGTCCTTGCTGCTGAATAAGAAAGGAGGTTTCTTGACTCCTCACCTCTAGCCATCATTAATCTGGCTGGCCCAAGTGAAGAGAAGGCCACCTACGCTCTCAGAAACACGAGGTCTAAGGGCCAGACCTGGAAGCAGGTGTCAGGGCTCACGTCACTCACAGACAGAAGCCAGTGCCACTCTAGGCTTAGCCCAATGACTGAATGGGCCTATATTTCAGCACTTAATAAATGACGTTGATGGGTTTTCCTTACCATCCATAGGTTATTGGATTAGTACTCATTGGAATATAAGGACAGAGAATAACTACTTTTGTTTTAGCTCTGAATTCTCCACTTCTCTGAATTGGAGAATTATTATTCTTTTGTTCTTCTGTTATTCTTTTGTAATGCTTCTCTGAGTTACTCCAGAAGGTCAGGAGATTATCTTGTGGGATTTGCCACTCCAGGGTTTATCTGATAATTTCCATTTCTGAGATTGTAAATTTCTTATTTAAATGATTGGAGTTCAGGGCTTTTTTTTCTTCATAGTGTACCCAGGCACACTCATGAGGAATTTGTAAATCACATGCATATTGGCTAGTCAAACCCTAATGTTTCATGACTGCAAGGTGTTGAAAAACATTGGCCAGGAGAGACAGGGATGGGATGGATTGGGTAGTGGGTGGGGTGTAGATGTTGCGGGTGAGGCTCTGTCACAAACAGATGGGTTTCCATTCCTGGCTCCCGTCTCCACACGCATGCGTGTTTCTGGGCAGGTTTCCAGCCCACATCAAGCCACCGTTTACTCACATGCAAACTGAGGGGCTCCCTGACACTCCCTGACACTGCCCAGACTTGGCACGAGGCAGAAAGGCAAGAATGTGTGAGTGCACAGCACAGAGCCCCTGGCGTCACCTTGGTTGGTTGTCAGTTTTCTAAATAGAAAGCAGGGTCAGCAATAGCTGCTTTGTGCTTTTGGGATGTGAGAAGGCTCATTTTCCCCAATCAATTCAATATGAGTGCTTGTGTATCCAGTTAAGTGTCATCCAGAAAAGGGAATGTTGTCCTCGGTCAGCTGAGAAAGGGCTGCCTTAGCTGATGGCCAACAGCTGAGGGCGTCCCCTGCACTCCTACCATCTGACATGGCACGTTGTCCCCAGGTTCTACCTCAGCTGCATGGGTTTCCCGGAGTGTCGCTCAGCCATGTGGCTTCCTGACTCGGTGCTGGAGGCCAGCAGGGACAGCAGCGTGTGTCCAGTTTGTCAGCCACATCCTGTGTACAGGTGAGCTGGGCACTTGAGTCAGGCGCCTCCTCTGGAGTGTGTACACCACGGCGCCCATCTTTCCCTTGCTCCTGTCAGAACCCAGAGAGGAGTGTCGGGGATTCCACTCAGGCCCTGCAGGGGTGTAGCTGTGTTCTGCAGCAGCCAGGTAGGCAGGCCTGATCCGGTTCTGTTGTGTTCCACGCTGTCACTGCTTTGGCAGGTATGACCCTGTTTGGAGTAGGCCATGGGCAGAGAACCATGAAGGCCTGTTTCCCTGCCCTCTCCATATAGATCATTGTTACACAAGGCTTAGGAAATTATTTGCATATTGAATACAACATCCAAGCTTAGGCTACATAGCAAGACCCCATCTCTAAAAAGAAAAAAAAATTTTTTTTTTTTTTTTAAGACAGAGTCTCACTGGGTTGCCCAGGCTGGAGTGCAGTGGTGCAATCTTGGCTCACTGCAACCTCCGCCTTCTGGGTTCAAACAATTCTCCTGCCTCAGCGTCCTGAGTAGCTGGGATTACAGGCATGTACCACTATCCCTGGCTACTTTTTGTATTTTTAGTAGAGACAGGGTTTCACTGTGTTGGCCAGGCTGGTCTCGAACCCCTGGCCTCAAGTGATCCACTCACCTCGGCCTCCCAAAATGCTGGGATTATAGGTATAAGCCACTGTGCCTGGCCAAAAAATTTTTTAAATTAGCCAGATGTGGTGACATATGCCTATAGGCCCAGCTGCTCAGGAGGCTGAGGCAGGAGGATCGCTTGATCCCAGAGGTCTAGGCTGTGATGAGCCATGATTTCACCACTGCTCTCCAACCTGGATGACAGAGCCAGACCTGTCTCTAGAAATAAATGAATAGCCTGGGCGCAGTGGCTCAGGCCTGTAATCCCAGCACTTTGGGAGGCCAAGACGGGCAGATCACGAGGTCAGGAGATCGAGACCATCCTGGCTAATACGGTGAAACCCCGTCTCTACTAAAAATACAAAAAGCCAGGCGTGGTGGCAGGCACCTGTAGTCTCAGCTACTCAGGAGGCTGAGGCAGGAGAATGGCATGGACCTGGGAGGCGGAGTTTACAGTGAGCCCAGGTCGCACCACTGCACTCCAGCCTAGGTGACAGAGCGAGACTCCATCTCCAAAAAAAAAGAAATAAATGAATAAATAAATTACTTAAGTTCCTCTAGAAAGTGCACAGCCCTAGTACAAGACAGTAGTTCTCAAACCTCTTGGTCACCAGTCCCGTAACACTCTGAAAGATCATTGAGGAGACCAGAGAGCTTTTGTTGTTGGCGGTTGATCAGTATGTACCATATGTGAAATTAAAGTGGAAAACATCTTTTAAAATATTCAGTAATTTGGCCAGGCACGGTAGCTCACGCCTGTAATCCCAGCACTTTGGGAGGCTGAGGCGGGCGGATCACAAGGTCAAGAGATCAAGACCATCCTGGCCAGCATGGTGAAATCCTGTCTCTACTAAAAGTAGAAAAAATTAGCTGGGCGTGGTGGCGTGCGCCTGTAGTCCCAGCTACTTGGGAGGCTGAGGCAGGAGAATCGCTTGAACCCGGGAAGTGAGGGTTGCAGTGAGCTGAGATCACGCCACTGCACTCCAGCTTGGGCAACAGAGTGAGATGTCTCAAAAAAAAAAAAAAAAATTAATGATTTATTTCTAGTAAATGCATTGCATACTACCGTAAATACCGTGTTTTTTAGGATAATAAAATACTTGTTTTCCAAAGCAAAATAACAATGACATGAATGACATTGTTTTACATTTTGCAATTTGTATGTCTGGCTTAATAGAAGAGAGCTAGATTCCCATATCTACTTCTGCAGTCAGTCTGCTGAGTCATTGCATGTGCTGGCACCTCTGGGAGACTCCATTGTATACACATGGAAGAATAAGAGCAAAATAGACATAACCTCTTAGAATTTTTTTTTTTTTTTTTTTTTTTGAGACAGAGTCTTGCTGTGTCGCCAGGCTGGAGTGCAGTGGCACAATCTCGGCTCACTGCAACCTCCAACTCCCAGGTTCCAGAGGTTCTCCTGCCTCAGCCTCCTGAGTAGCTGGGACTACAGGCACGTGCCACCACGCCCAGCTAATTATTGTATTTTTAGTAGAGATGGGGTTTCACCATATTGGTCAGGATGGTCTCAATCTCTTGACCTCGTGATCCACCTGCCTCGGCCTCCCAAAGTGCTGGGATTATAGGCATGAGCCACCATGCCCGGCCTTAGAATTATTATAAAAATTTGTGTGTGTGTGACAGAGTCTTCACTGTGTCACCCAGGCTGGAGTGTTGTGGCACAATTTCAGCTCACTGCAACCTCCACCGCCCGGATTCAAGCGATTCTCCTGTCTCAGCCTCTCAAGTAGCTGGGACTACAGACACATGCCAGCACGCCCAGCTAATTTTTTTAGTATTTTTAGTAGAGACAGGGTTTCACCATGGTGGTCAGGCTGGTCTCGAACTCCTGACCTCAAATGATCCACCCGCCTCCGCCTCCCAAAGTGCTGGGATTACGGGCATGAGCCACCACGCCCGGCCTATAAAATAGTTTTGCATTCTCCTTGAAAGGGCTCAGGCACCCTGGAACCACACTTGGAGAACTGCTGATATAGAGACATGGAACTTCTCAGAGGTGTTTTTATTTTAGTGAATTACCGGGATCTCAGATTTCATCTGCACTGCTTCCCACTGTCCACTCCTGTGATGACTGGCAAGGGCTTGTAGTGGGCTGACGGAGGGCCTCACAGGGGACTTGCGTGGGCTTCCTGATGCATAAGGAATGGTGGAGAGAGGCCTAGGGCTAAAGCAGCCCTCAGTGGACTAAGGAGAAGCTGGCACCTGGTTGTTAATGTTTTTTCCCATCTTCTGGCCTCACTAGGTTGAAGTTAAAGTTTAAGCGCGGTAGCCTTCCCCCGACCATGCCTCTGGAGTTTGTTTGCTGCATCGGTGGATGCGACGAGACCCTGAGGGAGATCCTGGACCTGAGATTTTCACGGGGCCCCCCCAGGGCTATCCAGCCCTCTGGTCACCTGCAGGCTAGCCAGTCTCTGAACAGGATGGACAATAGCCAGCACCCCCAGCCTGCTGACAGCAGACAGACTGGGCCCTCAAAGGCTCTGGCCCGTACCCTCCCACCACCCACGGCTGCTGGTGAAAGCAATTCTGTGACCTGCAACTGTGGCCAGGAGGCTGTGCTGCTTACTGTCCGTAAGGAGGGCCCCAACCAGGGCCGGCAATTCTTTAAGTGTAACGGGGGTAGCTGCAACTTCTTCCTGTGGGCAGACAGCCCCAATCAGGGAGCAGGAGAGCCTCCGGCCTCGGCATATAGACCCCTAGGCGGCTCCCTGGGACGCCCACCAGGCCCAGGGATCCACCTGGGTGGGTTTGGCAACCCTGGTGATGGCAGTGGTACTGGCACATCCTGCCTGTGCAGCCAGCCCGCTGTCACACGGACTGTACAGAAGGATGGGCCCAACAAGGGACGCCAGTTCCACACGTGTGCCAAGCCGAGAGAGCAGCAGTGTGGCTTCTTCCAGTGGGTCGATGAGAACACCGCTCCAGGTGAGGCAGGGAGGGGCATGGGAATCCCTGCCATGGGTTTTCAGGTATCTACCTCAGAGAAGACTGGGGACAGCAGAAAGAAGGCAAGGCAGGGTCATGGTGGGATTGGGAGGGGCACCTGGGCTGCCTCGCACCTCTGTTTCCTCACTTGATCACTTTCAGCAAGGTGATGATTGTACAGTCCTCATTCCAGATTAAAGGGTAGCTACCAGTAATGGTGTCATTCGCCCTATGCCTGGCACTATGCTAAGTATACTTCCTATGCATCTTCCGTCCTCATCGGGTAAGCATTATGATCACAATTTTACTTATAAGTGAGAAAGGTGAGACCCAGACACATGAAGTGGGCATTGCTCAGGGTCCCATAGCAACAGACACCAGAATGAGGATATAGGCCTTCCCAATGGCCCTGTGCCCTTGCAGCTGTCGTGACCCTTGGCAGACCATAAGCATCAGCCTCATTTCTTTTTTTTTTTTTTTTGAGACTGTTTTGCTCTTGTTGCCCAGGCTGGAGTGCAATGGTGCAATCTTGGCTCACTGCAACTTCCACCTCCTGGGTTCAAGTGATTCTCCTGCCTCAGCCTCCCACGTAGCTGGGATTACAGGCATGCACCACCACGCACAGCTAATTTTGTATTTTTAGTAGAGACATGGGTTTCACTATGTTGGTCAGGCTGGTCTCGAACTCCTGACCTCAGGTTATCTGCCTGTCTTGGCCTCCCAAAGTGCGGGGATTACAGGCGTGAGCCACCATGCCCGGCCCAGCCTCATTTCTTCAGATAAAGACACCAACCCCGATGATATTTAGGAACCTGCCCAGGGTGACACAGCTTGGGCCAATGTCTGGGAACTGGGTGTCATGAGAAGTGGCACCTAGACATTGCATCAAGTTAAGTGGTGTAGGTGGAGGCATTTTGAATGGTTCCTCCTGCTCCAGTGCACAGCAGAGCTTAATTAAGTAGCTGAGAATGACCCAAAAAGGCCTAGTGGGAGCTTTGGAGTTGGGCGAATCTGGTTCCAAAGCTCAGCAGTATAACCTTGAACAAATGACTTAGCCTCTCTGCCTCAAGTTTGCTCAACAAGATGGCTCCTGCCTACATTCATAGGGTTCCTGTTTTAGAAAGGAGTTTAGTCTCAGACTATGATTCTTACACATGTGTCACCAGCCCGGCATGCACAGAAAGAACCCAGAGGCTTGGTAAAAACTGTGGGACTTGGAACTGGCTACCAGTGCCAATGGGGCCCAGAGATGGCCATTGCAGTGAGAGGCCCACATTTGAAGTGAGATGCAGTCTGGCCTTTTGTCTCCCCACTTGGAAGGACATGGTATCTGACCCCCAGACTGGCTGGCTGACTGTCCTGGGTAAATGGGCAGCTGGTCTGGAAAGGCCCATTGAGGGACAGGAAGGGATCCAGAGCTGGACTTCCCTGCATGAAGGTGGGTCGCAGGTTGCTGGTCACAGGCTGCTTGTGTTTCCCACCCCACCACACAGATCAGCTTGCTTGGGTTTCTGCCTCTCTAAAAGGCTCGGCACAAAGTGATGCCAGTGTCCACTCACCAAGTGAGTGTGGGATGATGTCTCCAGGAGCTTAGGATTCTTGAGGGAGAGGTGTCAGGTAACATAAGGCAGCAGGCATATCACACCTCAACCTTACAGAGTTGGACACAGTGTGAAGGGAGGCTGGCTGGTGGGGTGTACGTGGCTGTGTAAAAGTTGATTCAGCCGGCCGGGTACAGTGGCTCACACCAGTAATCTAAGCACTTTTGGGAGGCCGAGGCAGGCAGATCATGAGGTCAGGAGATTGAGACCATCCTGGGTAACACGGTGAAACCCTGTCTCTATTAAAAATACGAAAAATTAGCCAGGCATGGTGGTGGGTCCCTGTAGCCCCAGCTACTCGGGAGGCTGAGGCAGGACCATGGCGTGACCCCAGAAGGCGGAGCTTACAGTGAGCCGAGATTGTGCCACTGCACTCTAGCCTGGGCGACCAGAGCCAGACTCCGTCCCAAAAAAAAAAGTTGATTCATCCATATCATCTGCTGCTACATTTTTTATTTTTTTATTTTTTTATTTTTATTTTTTTTTTTGAGGCGGAGTTTCGCTCTGTCGCCCAGGCTGGAGTGCAGTGGTGTGATCACAGCTCACTGCAGCCTCCCAGGCTCAGGCATCCTCCCACCTCAGCCTCCCAAGTAGCTGTGACCACAGGCATGCACCATACCTGGCTAATTTTTACTTTTTTTTTTTTTTTTTTGAGACGGAGTCCGCTCTGTCCCCCAGGCTGGAGTACAGTGGCCAGATCTCAGCTCACTGCAAGCTCCACCTCCCGGGTTCACGCCATTCTCCTGCCTCAGCCTCCTGAGTAGCTGGGACTACAGGCGCCCACCACCGCGCCCAGCTAGTGGTTTTTTTTTTGTATTTTTTGGTAGAGACGGAGTTTCACCATGTTAGCCAGGATGGTCTCGATCTCCTGACCTCGTGATCCGCCCGTCTACATTTTTTTAGTGAGGGTTTCGCCATGTTGCCCAGGCTGATCTTGAACTCCTGGGCTCAAGCAATCCTCCTGCCTCGGCTTCCTAAAGTGCTGGGATTACAGGCATGAGCCACTGTGTTCAGGATTTGCCACTTCTGCATGTCAGTTCTAACCTCAGTCCTCCCCTGACTCTCCCCACAGGGACTTCTGGAGCCTCCTGGACAGGAGACAGAGGAAGAATCCTGGGGTCGGAAGCCAGAAGCAAAAGGCCCCGGGCCAGTTCCTCAGACACGGGGTCCACAGCAAAGAAACCCCGGAAATGCAGCCTTTGCCACCAAACTGGACACACCCGTCCTTTTTGTCCTCAGAACAGATGAGCTCAGGGTAGGGTCGAGAGCGCCACTTTCTCAGACCTGTCTCCTTTGTGTTGGGAAATGAGTTAACCAGGACCAAGTGGCCATTTAGTGTCCTGGAAACTTGGAGGACAGTGTTGGCCTTTGGAGTCGGGCCTTTTTGTGTTAAGGGGCACAAGGTCCAGACCACTGTGGAGCAGGCCAGCTCTGTTGGACAGTGGCCCTCTTCCCAAGCCTCAGAAGTGACCATAGCCACTGCTGAAAAGTCACGCAGCTGCTCCCTCGGACCCCCCAAGGGTGGTTGCTGTTAGCAGAGGATTGGTGCAGTCCTAGCTGAAGCTCACTGTGTGCCAAAGGAAGAAGCTCCCAGGACTGCTTCCTTCACCTCCAGAAAGCCCCAGGTGAGCCAGCAGCACTCGTGGGGCAGGCCATGTCCAAGCTGCCCAGGGCTTCTCTCATAGATGTCCTGAGAAGGACGGTGTAATACAAGAAAGTGGCTGTGGTAACACTGATCCTGCAGAAGAAGCTTCATTCCCTCTTTAGTTAAGCCAGGACACCCAGAATTCATTGCCTTAATAAAGAACCCAGGCTGGGTGCAGTGGCTTACGCCTGTAATCTCAGTGCTTTGGGAGGCTGAGGTGGGTGGATTGCCTGAGCTCAGGAGTTGGAGACCAGCCTGGGCAACACAGTGAAGCCCTGTCTCTCCTAAAATACAAAAAATCAGCCAGGCGTGGCGGTATGCGCCTGTAGACCCGGCTACTCAGGAGGCTGAGGCAGGAGAATTGCTTGAACCCAGGAGGCAGAGGTTACAGTTAGCCGATATTGTGTCACTGGACTCCAGCCTGGGTGACAGAGCGAGACGCAGTCTCAAAAAAAATTTAAAAATTAAAAAAAAAATAAAAGAATCCAACCCCAACGGGGCGTGGAGGCTCACACCTAATCCAGCACTTAGGGAAGTCAAGGCTGGAGGATTGCTTGAGGTCGGGAGTTGAAGACCAGACTGGGCAACATAGTTAGACCTTGTCTCTATTATTTTTTTTTTTTTTGTTTGAGACGGAGTCTTGCTCTGTAGCCCGGGCTGGACTGCAGTGGCCGGATCTCAGCTCACTGCAAGCTCCGCCTCCCGGGTTTACGCCATTCTCCTGCCTCAGCCTCCGGAGTAGCTGGGACTACAGGCGCCCGCCACCTCGCCCGGCTAGTTTTTTGTATTTTTAGTAGAGACGGGGTTTCACCGTGTTAGCCAGGATGGTCTCGATCTCCTGACCTCGTGATCCGCCCGTCTCGGCCTCCCAAAGTGCTGGGATTACAGGCTTGAGCCACCGCGCCCGGCCACCTTGTCTCTATTATTAAAGATACAGCCAAGCACAGTTGTACACGCCTTTAGTCCCAGCTGCTCAGGAGGCTAAAGTGGGAGGATCCTTTGAACCCACGAGTTTGAGGCTGCAGCAAGCCATGATCACACCACTGCACTCCAGCCTGGGTGACAGAGCAAGACCCTGTCTCTCAAACTTTTTGTTTTAAATAAATAATCCAACCTTTTTTTACTCTGACCTGTGAGAGTGCAGAGGGTCTGGGGAACATTTGCAGAAGCAACAGGTATCAGCCATTGCTGGAAGGAGCTCACCCTGGAAGGTCTCACCAGCCTCTGTCCCTCATATCTGTCCCTCGTGTCCCATGTGGACAGCCCTTCCTCCCTTTCCACATGGTAAGCACTGAGCCCAATTTCTTCCCACCCCACAGGTGGTCCCTCAGAGCAGAGAAGATGTCCAGTGAAAGGTTCAGATTCAGATCACTAACTTTCCATCTTCCACTTTTTCCAGTGGTGGCCATGTTCCCCCTTTGCCTTCACAAAAACCTTGTGAATAATACAAGCCATATGGACTCTGATTTACAGTTTAGAAGATGAGCAGAGCTGGGTGTGAGTTGACCAGTCACGTTGCTAGTTGTTGAAGAAACTAGAATTGTTCTCAGGTCTTGGGCTCCTGGCCCCATAGACCAGTGGCTCTGTGTCCTGGTGGAGTATTGGAGAGGATTTTTATAAATGCAGATTCCTGAGATTGTTCCTGGAGCATCTCTGAGTGGGTGTGGGTTGTGGCCCTGCATGTGTGGTTTTGCCTCTCCCAGCCCCAGGGAACCACCAACCACTTCTTATCTCTATGGATTTACCTACTCTGTATATTTTGTTTAAATGGAATCATACCAGGCTGGGCACAGTGGCTCACGCCTGTAATCCTAGCACTTTGGGAGGCCAAAGCAGGCAGATCACCTGAGATCAGGAGTTCAAGACCAGCCTGACCAATATGATGAAACCCCATCTCTACTAAACATACAAAAATTAGCCAGGGCGTGGTGGCTCACGCCTGTAATCCCAGCTACTCAGGAGGCAGAGGTTGCAGTGAGCTGAGATTGGGCCACTGCACTCCAGCCTGGGCAACAAGAGTGAAACTCTGTCTCAAGAAAACAGAAAATGGAATCCTACCATACATGACCTCTTGTGTCTGGTTTCTTTGACTTGGCTGATGTTTGTCAGGCTCATCCACATTGTAGCATGTGTCGGTCCTCGATGATTATGACTGATAGTCCACTGTATGAATATACCACGAGTTTATCCATTTGTCAGTTTATGGACATTTGAGTTGTTTCCACCTTTTGGCTATTGTGAATAGCACTGTTGTGAACATTGGTGTATGAGTGTCTGATGACCTGTTTTCAGATATTTTGGGCATATGCCTAGGAATGGGGTTGTAGTTTCATACCATATCTCCACGTTTTAACTTTTTGAGGAACCTCTAAACTTTTCCACAGTGGATGCACCATTTTACACCCACCAGCAGCAAACCAAGGTTACTGCTTCTCCATATCCTTGTGAACACTTGTTGCTTTCCTTTTCTTGTATTATAGCCATCCTAGTGTATTGTCATCCTAGTGGGTATGAAGTGGCATCTCATTGTGGTTTTGATTTGCATTTTCCTAGTCACTAATGACATTGATCATCTTTCCATAGGCTTACTTACTGGCCATTGGTATATATTCTTTGGAGAATGTCTATTTAAGTTCTTCACCTTTTTTTTTTTTGAGATGGAGTTTCGCTCTTGTGCCCAGGCTGGTGTGCAGTGGTATGATCTTGGCTCACTGCAACCTCCGCCTCCTGGATTCAAGCAATTCTCCTGCCTCAGCCTCCCAAGTAGCTGGAATCATAGGCATCTGCCTTCATACCCAGCTAATTTGTTTTGTATTTTTAGTAGAGACGGGGTTTCACCATGTTGGCCAGTCTGGTCTCAAACTCGTGACCTCAGGTGATCCACCAGCCTCGGCCTCCCAAAGTGCTGGAATTACAGGCGTGAGCCACCGTGCCCGATCTCGTCACCCATTTTTAAATTGGGTTGTCTGTCTTTGTTGTTGAGCTCTAGGAGTTCTTCATAGTTTCTGGATACCAGATGCCTTTGTGGTTTTTACATCTCTACAGGCAACTCCTGCGTGTCTCAAAACCAAACTGCAGGATTGGGCTGCACCATGGACTGGGCTAGGCATCTGAAATCAAACAGACCCAGGCTCAGCTCCTGCTTCCCGGCCTGCTCTGCCACCCCGGGTGTGCGCCCTCATCCCTGGAGCCCCAGTTGCCTCATCCATAATGGGGTGTTCTTGTTCATATTGAGGCTCTCTAGTGAAGGCTTACAGTCAGGCATGACTGCAAATTAAAGCTTCACAAATCAAACCTGTTGGAATTTCCAAGTCTCTCAGCCCACTCAGGTTAGCAGCATGCAGCGCATCGTACCCCATCGACATTGACTGGAAGGGTTTTTAGTCCCTGTGTTGAGCCACATCGGCAGCTTGTGCAATGCACAACCAAGGAGAAGAAAATGACCCCCCACCCCAGCCTTGCTGGATCTAGCTGAGACTAGGCGCTGGCCAGGATGTCACATACAGTGGTTTCAACCTCCAGCTGCCGGCAAGACAGCATCTACTGTCCGTTTTCTGCAGGAACCATGGCTCTGCTGGGTTAAGTGCTTTCCTCTACCAAGCAGCTAGCCTGGCCTTGAAACCTAGTCTCCGATGCCATGTACCCCCCAGCCCCATCAGAGTTTTGTAAAAAGCCCCTCCCTGCTCTCCATACCAAAGCTGAGAGCCCATGGCATAACTGGAGGCTTCCCTGCCATCTTGGCAAAGAAGCCTTGGGTGCCGGGCGTGGTGGTTCACACCTGTAATTCCAGCACTTTGGGAGGCCGAGGCAGGCAGATTACGAAGTCAGGAGATTGAGATCATCCTGGCTAACACGGTGAAACCCTGTCTCTACTAAAAATACAAAAAATTAGCCGCTGGGCATGGTGGGGGCGCCTGTAGTCCCAGCTACTCAGGAGGCTGAGGCATAAGAATGGCGTGAACCTGGGAGGCAGAGCTTGCAGTGAGCCGAGATCGCGCCACTGCACTCCAGCCTGGGCAACGGCAGGACTCCATCTCAAATAAAAAAAAAAAAAAGCAGCAGCCTGGCTGATGTCCTGCACATGTTTTCCCAGGTGACTGCTTGCACTTAACAGCAGAGGAAACAAGAGACCACCCCACACAACTGGTAGTGGTTGAGGAGTCTGCCTGATCCCACACTGGATACTTAGAGCATCCAGAATTAAAAATAAGCCCTGTCACCAACACCCAGCCCCTCACCCCCCCGAGCCAGGCTCAATGTGCCCAACAGCGCTGGGGCCTGCCCCTGGAGGCACTGGCTTTTGAGACACGGCAGAGACCCCACTGCCCTTCAGGATGAATTCACTACCAGCCTCTTCTAGAATCCAGCCGAGGACCTGGGATGTTCATATTCAGCTGGATGGTGACTCGTTCAATATGCTCACCTGGGTGTTGCCACTCACCTGTTGACCCTACCAGGGACAGTTCTGTGCACCCCATCCCCACCTTAGACCACCAGCTCACACAGAGGTGGTGCTGGTGCAGTGGTTAATGTTAGGTGTCAACTTCATTGGATTAAGGGATGCTCAGACGGTTTTTTTTCTGGGTGTCTGTAATGGTGTTGCCAGAGGAGACTGACATGACTCGGTGGACTGAGAGAGGAAGACCCACCCTGAATGTGGGTGGGTACCATCCAATCGGCTGCCAGCACAGCTAGAACAGGTAGAAGAAGGGGGGTGAGCAGCTTGCTGAGTCTTCTCCAGCCCTCTCCCTCTTCCTGTGCCAGATGTTTGCCTCCTCTTCTCTCCTGTTGGACATCAGACTCCAGGTTCTTTGGCCTTTGGACTCTGGGACTTGCACCAGCAGCTTCCTGGAGCCTTCTGCCACAGACTGAAGGCTGCACTGTGGGCTTTCCTGGTTTTGAGGCTTTTGGACTTGGACTGAGTCACGCTACCGGCTTCTCTCCACAGTTTGTAGACGGCCTATTCTGGAGCTTCACTGTGTAATCCTGTGAGCTACTTCTCCCTAATTAACTCCCTTTCTATATATACATACAGCCCATTGGTTCTGTCCCTCTGGAAAACACTAATATATAGTCAGGATCTGGCCTGCAGTCTGAACCTGGAAGGTTCCTTCTGAAACCCATGCAAGCAAGTGAGCCCCAGTGGCCTCCCTGCCTGCCAGAGGCCCCAGCCGCTGAACGAATTGGTCTCATTGTCTCAGGAATTCAGCAAGCAGTGCAGAGATGACCCAGTGCAGGTCACCAGAGTCACTGGTGTTTGTCTTTGGAACCCACCTGGGTTTTCTCCACTACAACCTTAAGGAATTAAGATTTAAAATATAGATAGAGAACAAAAGAAAAATGTTATTAAAAATGCAAATATTGGCCGGGCACAGTGGCTGATACCTGTAATCCCACTACTTAGGGTGGCTGAGCTGGGAGAATTGCTTGAAGCCAGGAGTTTGAGACCAGCCTGTAATCCCAGGGATAATCATGGCTCACTGCAGCCTCGCCCTGCTGGACTCAAGCCATCCTCCCACTTCAGCCTCCTGAGTAGCTGGGCCCATAGGTATACAACACACCTGGCTAATTATTTTTTGTAGAGATGTCTGACTATGTTGCCCGGGCTGGTCTCGAACCCCGGGCCTGAAGCAGTCCTCCCACTTCAACCTCCAAAATGCTGGGATTACAAGCATAAGCCATCGTGCCTGGCTGTCTTTTTGTTTGCTTTTTAAAATATTAGCAGCAGATATGAAAACGAGCTCTGAACAGGTCAGCTCTACGGGAATAAATGGTCCCCGTTTGAGGACAATCCCACAGCTAAGTTTTCCTGAAGAGAAGTGTGAAGTGCATACAAGTGGATTTACAAAAAGGAAATGCTATTTGGTGAAATTTATCAGAGTTAGGGGCAGAGGATCTACAGGTGACATTTTCAAACGACTACATTTAGATTCTCCATTTTTGGAGTCCTTTTTTTTCTACAATCTTCCCTAGCGATCCTTGCATTCTGAGCAGGGGTAGTCACTGCCTTACCACAGTCATCAAGGCTCCTGGCTCTGGGTCACTTGGTGAAAGTAAAACAAGGAATTTGAGTCACCACAGCCAAAGGTTCTGAGTGTTAAGACACTGAGGCCTGGGCAAGCCCATACCCTGCTCCCAGGCAGGCAGGGCGGGGGCTGTCCTTGCCTTGTGGGGAAGGGAGTGGGTGGGATTTCACAGCCCATCAGGACAGCCCAAGACCCAGCAGCCCAGGGCCTGAGGTCATGCAAAGTTCTTAGCAAAACTGATTTGTTTCCAGTTCTCTGGTAGAAACGGAAAACCCAGACATTAACCTTGGCTAGATGATGGAACCATGAACATGAACCATGAACGCTTTTAACTTATCCTGGATTTTTCTTTTTTTTTTTTAAGCCATGGTTTGAGATGGCAAATTTAGAGCTACCTGAAGCAAGTAGCCTCTACAGATTGGCCTACATCAGGCTTGTGTTGGGGTCTGGCCATGTAAGGAGAGGGACTCTAGACTGAGCTTGCTTCCAGGACAGCTGCACTCTGACCAGGGGCTGGCCTGGCAGCTGGGAGCACCTTGCTGTGCTGGGGCTTGGATGTGGCTGGAGCATGAGGCACAACTAGGCCCACCAGTCCTCGTTCCCAGGCATTACGTTAGCACTGCCTATCCCAGTTAATCATCACAAGCACCTGGGATTGGGCATTGCATGACCCCCCCAGTTAAAAGATGAGAAGACTGAGGCATAGGCTCTGCCCCAGACTGCTCCCTTGCTGCCCCTCCACCGCCAGGGAAACTACTCAAAGCTCTCCAGCATCAAGGCATCAAGTGATTGGAATGGACCTTGGTCAAGTGTCTCCTGCCTTGGACCCTTATAATATCCTCTGCAAGGAGCCCTTGTGCCCGCCCCCTGCCCTGCACCCAACACCCAGAGGCCTACACCACTATTCCATTTGCTTGGCACGGTTCTGCTTCCCTTGGGTCCTGCGGTCACAGCTGGAAGGGGTAGGGGAGTCCCCTCAGGACGTAAGTGGGGGAAGGACCAGCAGGGCGCAAGTGGCACGGCTAGGCTGGAAGCAGCTGTGCACGCAGACCAGAGCCCTCCCCAGCCCACATCTGTCATCTGGTGATAGGAAGTGAGCCCTGGCTTTGGCTCTTGGGGGTGGGGGGGATAAGATGCCCTGGCCTCTCACCTGCGCAAGGCGGGGCAAGTTTCCTCCCCACTTGTGCAGCCACAAAGAGATGCAAGGGGAGGTAGAGAACACAGGTTCCTGGCCGGGTGCGGTCGCCCATGCCTGTAATCCCAGCACTTTGGGAGGCCAAGGCAGGCAGATCATGAGGTCAAGAGATTGAAACCATCCTGGCCAACATGGTGAAAATCCATCTCTACTAAAAACACAAAAATTAGCCAAGCATGGTAGTGCGCACCTGTAGTCCCAGCTACTCGGGAGGCTAAGGCAGAATTGCTTTAACCCTGGGAGGCAGAGATTGCAGTGAGCCGAGATTGCGCCATTGCACCCCAGCCTCGGCGACAGAGACTCCGTCTCAAAAGAAAAAAAATAAAACACAAGTTTCTAAAAACTGATGGGCATGGCTGAAGAGCCATCAACAGCCCACTGATCACAGAAAGTATGGTGTGGGGCTCGGTTCAGCCTTGCAGGAAGAAACATCCCAAACTGGTTGGTTCCCAGTACTAAAGCAACACAAAGCTTTTCATCTGTTCCTTCCACATACCGTACTTGTCACAGAAAGTTTGTGTCCCCTTAAACTTGTATGTTGAGATCCTAACCCCCAAGGCACTGCTAACAGCAGATGGGGCCTTTGGGAAGTGATTCGATCATGAGTGTGGGCCCCCACCCCATGGGTGGGCTTAGTTTCCTTTAGAGACCCTAGGAGAGCATTTCCCCGCTTCCTCCACAAGGACAGCTAGATGGGGACACCTATGAACCAGTATGTGGGCCCTCACCAAACATGGGATCTATTTGTGACTCATTCTTGGACTTCTAGCCTCCAAAATGGTCAGACATAAATTTCTGATGTTTATAAGCCACCTAGTCTATAGCATTTTGTTATCACAGCCCAAACAGACTGAGATGATTTTTTTTATTTTTTATTTTTGAGACGGAGTTTCATTCTTGTTGCCTAGGCTGGAGTGCATTGGTGCGATCTCAGCTCACCACAACCTCTGCCTCCCGGGTTCAAGCAATTCTTCTGCCTCAGCCTCCCAAGTAGCTGGGATTACATGCATGCACCACCACGCCCAGCTAATATTTTTTGAATTTTTAGTAGAAACGGAGTTTCTCCACGTTAGTCAGGCTGGTCTTGAATTCCCAACCTCAGGTGATCCACTTACCTCAGCCTCCCAAAGTGCTGGGATTACAGGCGTGAGCCACGGCACCTGGCCAAAATGCTTATTTATTTATTTATTTATTTATTTATTTATTTATTGAGAC